TGACTATAAGGTTCCCTTTGAAATTATGTTTTTGATAAGCACTAATTATTATGTTAATTATCTTGTAAGGGCTTTTGGATTCCCATAAAAATGAATTTTGGGTTAGACATTTATTCTTAATTTTGTTTTACATAATTACTATTCATCTCGAAAATATAGTTAGGCATATGCAATAATATGATGAAGGATAATGTTTTAGAGCAACCAACCAAGATTATATTATGCAAATGCCTCTTTTATGCATGTAGAAAGACAAAATTTTCGTCTTTACTAAGTTAAGTATGAGAAATGGTTGACCAATAATTTCTTCATATTCTTTGTTTAGAAGAATAGAGAATTTGCTTGTAGTTATACCATAGAATTGTGCCTAATGTTCTACAAATTATGAACAATGTGCTAATGTAGTAGCTAACTATTTTGATTTGGATTCCATGAAAGAAGAAAATGAGCACTAAAGAGTAACTTCTAGAAAAAAATATATAGGAGGATGGATAATCAAATTATTTGAATAGATGAAGAGTCAATACGAAAGTTCAATGACAAGATATTTAGGGTTAAATGAAAATGATGTGTGCTCAATTTAGCAATATAAAAAATTATATAGCGTTAAAATATCCTTAAATTTATCATACTCCCTTTAAAAGTACGAGTTCGAGAAAATATTTTCATGGTCAATATTATCCTTAACTTTTTTTTGAATATTACATTGTTATCATAATCTATTTTATATATCATATCTTCTTTGAATCGGTAATTAAATAATTTATCCTATTCATAATGATATTTAAAACGTTATTGGATAAAGGAGATACGTTTGATATAATTCAAATCATTTACTTATTTCAGTTTACAAAGAAATCTAAAAAAAACATATGCTAATCAACACCTAAAAAATTTTGGACTTTGTAAAAGATATCCTCCAAGTTTTTTTAATTACAAAAATACCCCTACAAATTCAAATTTTTATTAAAACATCTTGAAAATTATAAATTTTACTTATTTCAATTTAGTGAGAAATCTAAAAAACATATCCTAGCTAGAAACTAAAAGTTTTTTGACTTTGGAGAAAATATCTTGTAAGTTTTAAAAATTACAAAAACACCACTAAAAAATCAAAATTTGTAAAAAAACACTTTAAAATTTTTAAACCTATAAACACACTAAAAACCTACAAATAACACAAACAAACCCCAAAAATTTATGGAATTTACAATAAACACTCTAAACTTTTTACAAATTACAAATTAAAACCCTCAAAATTGTAAATTTATAAAAATGATAATTTCTAACCTAGCAGTACATTGAAAATATAGGAATTATAAATATCCCTATATAATTTATAATTTGTAGAAAATACCCTTAAAGTTTCAAAAATTATAAATAAAAACTCAAAATTTAAATTTTACAAAAAAACACCCTGAGAATTACAAACTCATTAGTAAATTAAAAACAAAGGAATTATAAATAGTCTATAAACAATTTGCAATATGTAGAAATGTCCTATAAGTTTAAAAATTACAAAAAATCCATAAAATTTATAATTTTCAAAAAACACTATAAGAATTTTTAACCTATAGATACTAAAATGAATATACAAACTTACTAACAACCCCTAGGAAATTATAAATTTACAAAAAATATCATATTCCCTTTAAAAATATAGGTTTAGAAAATACTTTTCATGGTCAATTTTAGCCATAACATTTTTGAAAAAAACATAACTAATTAAAAATCTATTAAATTTAAATTTTATAAAAAAAACACCCTTAAAGTTTAGTACATTGTAAATTACACATCCAAAGTTTGAAAATTTTCAATATTTTTTTGCAATTCCTTGATTTTAATGTAATGTTTAATAGTTTTGTATATTTATAAATTACAAAATTTTAGGGTTTTTTTATAATTTTTAAAACTTTAAGGGTGTTTCTTTTGTAGTTTTCAAAATTTTATTGTGTTTTTAGTGTAATGCATAGATTCATCAATTAATAATGATAATGAAGAATAAGTCATTCTTAAGATGTATTAGGCCATAGTTAAGTACACATCACTCTTCTTAATCAGTATAGTTTATATATGCAAATATTTTCAGACAATCTATATAGTGGTTAAAAGGATTTTAACTTTAATGTACTACTTTTTATAAATTATATTTAATATGAACCCACCATATAGTTTTGACTGTGGTCATCATAATTTTAATATGTTTGATTGATTGACTAAATAGGTATATAGACCATAGATTACTTTACTTTCTCACATGAACTAATATTTGGCGCTTAATAATTTAAATTATTACTTTTAAATTTAATATAAAGAGAAGCTCTAATAACATTTATTTATTTACCTGCAGGATTATACAATCTCAATTCTTTTTTTTGTTTGAGATTTATTCCATAGTTACAGTATCAAATTAGTAACTACAACGTAAAGTTAACCGCTTTTCATACCGAATAGTTACGTGTATATATATATAATTTATTAAAAAGGGTCATATAATCTTATATAATAAAATTGATTTAATACTTAATAGTAGTATCGTTGTAATAATATTGTTATTAAAGAAATTCTTCATGAAACAATATGTTCTTTACAATATATAAGCTATGCACTCTAAATTATTATGTGTTTTATAGAGCCAAAAAGTTTGAATATAAGCCTCTAACATTTTGGTCTCGTAACAACAAAATCCACTTAAGAGATGTGGATATTCCAAATGAGTTATATATCCTATATACAATACAATTGCTCTAGCCAAGTAAGTTATAATAGTATTTTTCATTCACATCAATTGGAGCAAGATATGATAGGAACATTGCATCAAAGAAAAAAAAAGAAAGTTTTATATTTAGAGCACATGAGGAAATATATCATAATCTTCCTGCTCTAATTTCGCAAGAAAATAATTCTTCATACTTTTAATTTTATTTCTATGATACAGAGAATGTTGAACCATACCTTGATGATATTATTCTTTGTAATATTTTTTGAAAGAATAAAAGTTAATCAATCCTTCAAGTACAAGTGTTGCTCCTCAACTGCTTCTTTGTAATATTTTTAAGGTGTTTGTAATTTACAGTTTTACTTTGGTTTGGTAAAAGTTTATTAAAGTTTTACTTCTATCAAACCCATAAAAAACTTTATTTTATTTTTTATTTTTATTCTATTTTTATCAATTTAAATAATTATAATATTCAACCATATGCATTGCACGTGCATCTCAGCTAGTAATCTAAAGCAAACCAATACTTAAAAACTACAAAGTTTGGACCATAAGGATATACACTCTCTTTGGTAGTCATTTTCTTTATAGGAAACTTATGCTGATAATATATTAGAGTGCATCCCTAAAACTTTGATGTTTTGAGATAACCCCTAAAACTTATTGTTTAAATTATAAATTTAACATTAAAAATTAATTTAATAACATCAGTTAATCTATAACTATGTCGTGCATCACATACAATGCATGTATAGCATTTTAGTCTATTTTAAACTTACCTTGCCTATCTACTTATCTGATCTAATTTTATTACTATTTTTATTTTCTATTTTCATTCGTTGCTAATTTTCTTTATCTTCATTTCTGTCTTATATTTATTTGTTGTACACTATTTTGTATGGTTTTGTATATTCAACTATTTCTGTTTAATCTTCATCTGTTGTACACTATTTTGTTTGGTTTTGTAGTATGGTTTTCTCTGCTTAATTAAACATTTTTATGTTCTTAGCACATGCACAAAGTGAGTGGAGATTTTCTTTGGGAAAAATTGCAAAATAGATCGTTTTTGCTAATTATTTAGCAAAATAGACCGTTTTGCTAAATAATTAGCAAAATAGACATCTTTTTGGCCAACAGGTCAAAAAAGGTCTATTTTGCAAAACAGCTCAGAAAACATACGGGACTAGTAGTCCAGTATGTTTTAATCACGGATTAGTGAAATTTTCTACTCAGAAAACATACGAGACTACTAGTCCCGTATGTTTTCTGAGTCACTAATCCGTGATTAGTTGGCTCTAAACATACGGGACTAGTAGTCCCGTATGTTTTCTGAGCCTTATTTTTCAAAATCGACCTCTTTTTTTCAAAAGAGGTCTATTTTGCTAATTATTTAGCAAAATGATCTATTTTGCTAAATAATTAGCAAAAACGGTCTATTTTGCAAATTTTCCCATTTTCTTTCTACTAGATTCTAACTAGGGGTGCATTCGGTCCGAATATTGCTTGTTTATGTGATACTTGTCATATCTATTATTGGTAACAAATCATGGATACAGATACGAATACTGATATGTCTTGGTAAAGAAAATTCATATTCATATCAGCTAAAACCAAATACGAATATGGATATACATTACGGATACATTATTGGATGTACATGCGAATACAAAACGGATATGAAAAAAGTATGAAAAATATATAGTTCATACGATACAAGAGAATTCATTTATATGTTCGTTACATCTAAAAAACTAATATTAGATATCTTGAACATCAAAATTAACCTCAAATCCGTTAATCTAAAAATTAAAATTGTTGCAACAAAGACCAATATATATTCAGATATTTTGAATACGTGTCCAGATATTTCACTACATGACCATATTTATAACAATATCCTATCAAATATAGATTTTAGAAGATGAATATTTCCTTAAATATGGATATTTTTGTGCACACCCCTAATTCCAACTCTTATTTAAACTAACAAATTGCAAGTAGAGAACCAAATTGCAAGTAGAGAACTTGACAAGTCCCTTATTCTATTTATTATATTAAACCTTAACTGAGGACTGAGGACACTGTATGGTTACATAACATTACTTATTTTTTATTTTTTTTCTGTGTTATCTTAAAAAAGAATATGAAAGACCACCAAGAAACAAAAGTAAAAAAAAAATGAAGAAGCTTTCTCAAAACTACATCTCATTGTATGTGCCAAA